AAAAAAAAAAAAAAGAAATGACTATTTAATAAATATACATAGTGAATAGATTTTAAAAAAGCTGTTTCATATTTGATCATGGTAGTAAGAAGTAACAACATGTTTTTTTCATTTTGCAAATAAAATTGTGTATCACAGAAGATAAGTGCCTTGCACAAGAACAGAAAATTCCCATGTGTGAATTCAAATGGAAATTCAATCCTCTAATCCCAAATGTAGATTTATTCCTCTAGTTTTGTTTAATGACAAGACTCCATCTTATAGCAACATCATAATGTCTTATTCTTCAGTAAATATATCCTGCCTACTCACCACTGAATACAGTGAAAACCAGTATATACCTCAGAAGTAAGAAGCATCCCTTGACCTCCGTAATTCTATTGAAAGAAGCAGTTATAATTACCTTATGTTGTAAATATTTTTGGAAACTTTCTTGAGTTTGAAACCTCAAGAATTTCTCATTTCTTGAATAACAGTTGTTAGAAACACAAACACACACAGAAACACACCTGATCAAAGAAGGAAGGTCTTGATTCTTGCGGATAAAAGTCTCCTTTACAAATGAAAAATTTAGACATGTCTTGAGTTATCACTTTAGAACTAAAACTAGAGATGTACAGTCAATTCTGATTCCTGAGAAAGATATGACAAATGCTACTGTAATCTCATCTTGTGAAGAAGCATAACACAAACCACATTACTTCCACTTTATCACAGCACAGAAAATTCTACTAAGTGTGAAATAAATGCGAGGTGTTAACATGATTTTATGACTTAAATGATCAATGCAGTGATAAGAAGTTTCCTAGAGTTTTGAGAAACAATGGTGGGCCTAGATCATCTCTTTCTGAATTAAAAGTGAAAAGTTGTTCTAAAATATGGTTGTAAGTACTGTGTGGAAAAAAAAGAAAATTAAGTTAGCTTCATAATCATATTGTACACATGCTGTTATAAATTCAAATGGAATCAAGTATGCTGTATCATATAAGTTGGAACCATAGAAAGATATCTTTCATACATATACACATATATAATTATATGCACACACATAAATGCATACAAGTATATAGACATCTATGTGTACACACATGACCTTTTAACTATAAAAATATAAAGTGCATATAAAATAAAAGTTCTATAATGAACCATCATATGCCTAGCTTCAACAATTATCAGTTTGTGGTTAATATGACTTCATTTATGATATATGCGGTGTCTCACACCCATCTCTGTGCCTATTAAATAGGGCCTTTTCTCTACTTTCCTTGTGAACATCACTCATTATATTACTCTCTATTTCTCAGAACATTAGCGCCAAATCTTATGCCAGAATAGCAGTATAATCAACTAATGTCTTAGTGTTCTGGTTTTCAGCTACTCACAATTGTTGTTGCATTAAAAAGTGATAAAGAGGACTGCCAGACCCAAAAGGAGCCTGTGGAGAAAGGGGAACCCTCTTACACTCTTGGTGTGAATGCAAACTGGTACAGCCATTCTGAAAAACAGTATGGAGATTCTTCAGAAAGTTAAAAATAGAGCTATCCTATGACCTAGCAATTGCACTACTAAGTATTTATCCAAAGGATACAAAACAGTGATTCAAAGGGACATCTTCACCCCAATGTTTATAGCAGCAATGTCTACAATAGCTAAACTATGGAAAGAGCCCAGATGCCCATCGACAGATGAATGGATCAAGAAGATGTAGCATATCTATACAATGGAATATTACTCAGCCATCAAAAAAGAGAAATCTTACCATTTGCAACGACATGGATGGAACTAGAGGGTATTATGCTGAGCGAACTAAGTCAACCAGAGAAAGACAATTATCATATGATCTCACTCATATCTGGAATTTAAGAAACAAGGCAGAGGATCATAGGGGAAGAGAGGAAAAAATGAAACAAGATGAAACCAGAGAGGGAGACAAACCATAAGAGATTTTTTTTTTTTTTTAAGATTTTATTTATTTGACAGAGAGAGACACAGCGAACGAGGGAACACAAGCAGAGGGAGTGGGAGAGAGAGAAGCAGGCTTCCCACCGAGCAGGGAGCCCGATGCGCGGGCATTAAGGAGGGCATGTGATGTAATGAGCACTGGGTGCTATATGCAACTGATGAGTCATTAAACTCTACCTCTGCAGCTAGTAATACACTATATGTTAATTAATTGATTTTGAATAAAATTAAAAAAAAGACATAATGACTAAATGTACTATGGTATCCTGGCTGGGATAGTGAAACAGAAAAAAATATTAAGTAAAAACTAAGGAAATCTGAATAAACTATGTTCTTTATTTAATAATATATCAGTATCAGTTCATTCACTATGACAAGTGTGTCATACTAATGTGAGCTATTAATACAGGAAACTGGAGATGGGGTATATGGGAACTCTCTTTATTACCTTTGTAATTTTTCTGTAAATTTAATACCATTATAAAATAAAAAGTTTATTTAAAAATAAGTATTGGAGCTTCTTTAGAATGTTATAATAACAGCAACAATAATAATTTTATTAGTATAATACATATGGGAGACTTTAAAGAAAACAAAAACCACTCTGAAAGGAAACATCTAAAAAATCACTCACTCATATTACCTCTCACTGAACATGAGCCCGTGAAAACAAACTTTAATCAGTAAATCTATAATCAGTCTATTCAATCAGTAAGAGCTAATGATTAGTCAATAATCTTTAGCTAATAGAACAATTAAACACTGTAAAAATCTATGTACAATATGGATGCGATAAAAATAATATAAGCAAAAGTGGATTCGGCAAAGTTTGATAAGGCTAGAAAAAATTTTAATGAAATCAGTAGGGTATTTAAAATCTTCCCATGTGGGGCCCCTCACTGACCCAGTCCAAGGCTATGGTGAGCCAGGTTATCAAGTGCAAGGCTGCAGTGGCCTGGGAGGCAGGAAAACCTCTCTCTATAGAGGAGATAGGGGCGGCATCCCCAAAGGCTCATGAAATTCGAATTAAGATTATTGCCACTGCAGTTTGCCACACCAATGCCTATACCCTGAGTGGGGCTGATCCTGAAGGGAGTTGTCCAGTGATCCTGGGACATGAAGGTGCTGGAATCGTGGAAAGTGCTGGGGAAGGAGTTACTAAGCTGAAGGCAAGTGATACTGTCATGGGTGTAGAGAACGCAAATTTTGTCTAAACCCTAAAACAAACCTTTGCTAGAAGATAAGAGTTACTCAGGGGAAAGGATTAATGCCAGATGGTACTGGCAGGTTTACTTGCAAAGGAAAGACGATTTTACATTACATGGGAACCAGCACATTTTCTGCATAGACAGTTGTGCCTGATATCTCTGTTGCTAAAATTGATCCTTTAGCACCTTTGGGTAAAGTCTGCCTTCTGGGTTGTGGCATTTCAACTGGTCGTGGTGCTGCTGTAAACGCTGCCAAGGTGGAGCCTGGTTCTGATGTGGGAACCAAAGGCAGAAGAAAAATTATTAAATTTCCTTACTACCTGCAGCCCATTGACAAGTCATTGAAACAGGCAGAGTGATGACCGCCTCCCCCCCACCCCCCCAGGATCCTGTAAGTCTACTTTAAGGTATAAGAATTCCTCTGGAAACTTCCTTTATCTCTAAACCCTCCAAGATACGTGTTGGCAATCACACCCCAAGCACATGGCCCACCGATATACATCTGAAGGGTCTCATGACTAAGGTTTTATTAGACAGTAATAAATGACACTTTCCCAACAATAGCCAGCCCCCTCAAGGTCCTGGAAACCTTGCTTCCAAAATTCCTTAGAGACTTAACGCTATCCCTAACTCCCTCCCAACTTGAAAGTATATAATGGGCCACTCCTCATGACCCCATTGCAGCTCTTTCTGCCCACGGATCCTGTCCCCGTGCTTTAATAAGACCACCTTTTTGCAGCAAAGATGTCTCAAGAATTCTTTCTTGGACGTTGGCTTTGAACCCTAGTAACGTCTTTCCTACATCAGCTCTACTCGTACCATCTTTGGCCTAGGAGGAGTTGGACTGGCGGCTATCATGGGCTGCAAGGTGGCTGGTGCATCCCAGATCACTGGTGTGGACATCAATAAAGATAAATTCACAAGGGCCAAGGAGTTTGGAGTCTCTGAATGTATTAACCCCCAGGATTTCAGTAAACCCATCCAGGAAGGTACAATTCATAACTCTCTAATCAAGGACCAGGCTGATACAGTCATAAATCTGTTTACTGAACTCTTCTTCACATGAATAATTGCCAGCTCATTAAGGAACATTCTAGCATAATAAAAGTCATTTCTGAAAAAAAAAAAAATCTCCCCAATGGATAACACAAAAGCCAAATAGTTTTACAGGAGAGAAATAATAAACTTTTGAAAAAAAAATCATTATAATTTATGCAAACCCTTCTAGATGGTATGGATAAAAGCAATAGTTGTCATTTCTTTCACGAAAATAGAATTAATTACCTTGGTGCCTAAATTAGATGAGAATATGTTAAGAAAGGAAAAAGAAAAGTCAAACTCATTTATGAAAATTGTTGCAAAATCCTAAAACAGTGCTAAACCAAATCAGTGTATAAAATTCATATAGGTAATCAAATTGAGTTTATTTCACAATTGTGGCAATAGTTTTCCTTTGAAAGAAAAATCATTAAATGTAATTTACTATAAACAATAGTCTAAAGAAATAGAACAGGATTGCATCAAGGTGGAAAGCCCATTTGCTATAATTCAAAACCTTTTCATGATAAAAACAATCTTTAGCATACATATGAGAAGACTTACATAAACATCATTCTTAATTTGGAGACATTAATAGTCTTTTAGAAATCCATGAAAGCAAACAATCACTAATATCACTTCTTTTCAATGTCATTGTAGACATTTTTCAGCACATTTAAGACCACCATAGGAAATTAAAGAGATAAGGACTTAAACATTTTTTTTTTCTGATGATATGTTCATCTACATTATGGGGAGGAAGACATTTCTCTGACGTATGGTCATTTTGGTTGAACTTAGAATCAAATTGGCTTGAGACAGACTAACAGGAGAAAATCAAATTTAATAGGTATATGTATGGGGAATCCACAGACAAAAAAATTCTAAGGACAATGAGGCAACATGAAACTTATATGAGTAAAGGAGAGGGGGAGGGCCTAGAATACAAAAGGGAGAAAGCTCATTAGCAAGAGAGTAAAAGGAGATGTTTGAAAAAACAAGGTTACTCTATTATGCAGATAAGTTCCTTAGGTAAAGGGGAGTCTGTTAGTAGCTCTCTTCTTGATACAGCCTCTCTTTTCCAGTGTAAATTTAGGAAGTTGAGGAGGAGACAGATCTGTTCCTGTATCTGCTGGGTTTTTACTCTTACTTTTTTTTTTTTTTAATTTAAGTAAGTTCTATGTTCAACATGGGGCTTGAACTCATTATCTTAAGATCAAGAGTCACAGGGGTTTTGATTACTTTTAACTCAAAATAATCTCTATGCCAAAGTGGCCCATCTTGGGGCAGCCTGGTCTGGGCCCCTACAGCATAGAAAATAAAAAAAATAGTTTAATGATCAGTTAATAGAAATAATATTAATATAACTGAATGTAGCATTAACTTGCAAAAACTACTACATTAAACATCACTAATAAACAAAAAAATTAATCTTTAAAAATATATCATTAACAATGACAA